TTAAATCTAGTAGTTCTTTGTTGGAGTCTTTAGGATTTTCTATGTACAATATCATGTCATCTGCTAATAATGACAGTTTCACTTCCTCCTTTCCAATTTGGATGCCTTTTATGTTTTCTTCTTGTCTGATTGCTGTGGCTAGGACCTCTAGTATTACGTTGAACAAAAGTGATGAAAGTGGTCACCCCTGTCTTATTCCTATTATTATGGGAAATGCTTTTAGTTTTTGCCTATAGAGTATGATGTTTGCTGTAGGTTTGTTATATATGGCCTTTGTTATGTTGAGGTATGATCCCTCTATTCCCACTTTGCTGAGAGTTTTTATTAAAAATGGTTGGTGTTGGATTTTGTCGAATGCTTTTTCTGCATCTATGAATATGATCATGTGATTTTTGTCTTTCAATTTGTTTATGTGATGTGTCACATTTATTGATTTGCAAATATTGTACCAGCCTTGCATCCCTGGAATAAATTCCACTTTGTCTTGGTGTAGTATCTTTTTAACATATTGCTGGATCTGATTTGCTAATATTTTGTTGAAGATTTTAGCATCTATGTTCATCAGGGATATTGGCCTGTAATTTTCTTTGTAGTGTTTTTTTCTGGTTTTGGAATTAGGCTAAAGCTAGCCTTGTAAAAAGAGCTTGGAAATGTTCCTTCCTCTTGGATTTTTTGGAATATTTTGAGGAAAATTGATGTTAATTCTTCTCTGAATGTTTGGTGAAACTCCCCTGTGAAGTCATCAGGATAATGTCTTTGTGTGCTGGGAGTTTACTGATTACTGCTTCAACTTCATCAGTAGTTATTGGCCTATTCAGGTTTTCTGTCTCTTCCTGATTGAGTTCTGAAAGGTTGTATTTTTCTAGGAATTTGTCCCTTTCATCCAGCTTGGTGGCATGTAATTGTTCATAGTATTTTCTTACAAGCCTTTGTATTTCTGTTGGGTCAGTTGTTGCTTCACCTGTTTTGTTTCTGATTTTATTTATTTATGTCCTCTCTCATTGTTTCTTGATGAGTCTGGCTAAGGGTTCATCAATCTTGTTTATCTTTTCAAAGAACCAGCTCTTGGTTTCATTGATCTTTTGTATTTCTTTTTAGTTTCTATGTCATTTATTTCCACTCTGACCTTTATTATTTCCTTCCTTCTACTTACTCTGGGCTTTTCTTCTTGTTGTTCTCTTTATGTTGTAGTGTTAGAGAGTCTATTAGAAGTTTTTCTTGTTTTTTGACATAGGCCTGTAGTGCTGTGATCTTCCCTCTCAAGACTGCTTTCATTGGGTCCTATAGATTTTGCGTTGTTGTGTGTTCATTTTTATTTTTTTCCAGGAAGGTTTTAATTTCTTCCTTGATCTTTTTGGTACCCCATTCATTGTTTAATAACATACTGTTTAGCCTCCATGTGTTTGAATGTTTTTTAATATTTTTGTTGTAGTTATTTTCTGATTTCATGCCATTGTGGTCCGAGAAGATGCTTGATATGATTTCAATCTTCTTGAACTTGTAGAGACTTGTTTTGTTTCCTAACATTTGGTCTATCTTTGAAAATGTCTCATGTGCACTTGAGAAGAATGTATATTCCACATCTTTGTGGTGGAATGTTCTGTAAATGTCAATTAAATCCATCTGATCTAGTATGTCATTTAGGGTCACTGTTTCCTTGTTGATTTTTTTGTCTGGAAGACGTATCCAGTGAAGTCAGTGGGATGTTAAAGTCCCCTACTATGACTGTATTGCTGTCAATCTCTTCCTTAAAGTCCTCTTGAAGTTTTTTTATAAATTTAGGTTCTCCTATATTGGTTGCATATGTTTATCAGGGTTTTATACTTCTGTTGGATAGATCCCTTTAATATTATGTAATGACCTTTCTTGTCTCTCATTATGGTCTTCATTTTGAAGTATATTTTGTCTGATACAAGTATGCTAACCCAGATTTTTTTTCATTTCCATTTGCATGGAAAAATTTTTTCCATTTCTTCACTCTCATCTTGTGTGAGTCTTTTGTTCTGAGGTGAGTCTCTTGTAGACCACATATATTTGGTTCATGTTTTCTTATCCACTCAGCTGCCCTGTGCCTTTTTATTGGAGCACTTAATCCATTTACATTTCAGGTTATTATTGATAGGTACTTATCTATTGCCATTTTAATTCTTTATGCCTATGTTTTTCTCTCTCTCTATTTCTACTTCTTATTACAGCAATCCCTTTATCATTTCCTGCAATGCTGGTTTGGTGGTGATAAACTCCTTTAGCCTTTTTTTTGTCTGGGAAACTCTTTATTTCATCATCTAATTTGAATGATAGTCTTGCTGGATAGAGTAGTCTTGGTTTCAGATCTTTGTTGTGCATGATCTTGAATACTTCACGCCATTCCCTTCTGGCCTGTAGAGTTTCGGATGAGAAATCAGCTCACAGCCTTATGGGAGCTCCTTTGTAGGTAACAAATTTGTTACCTACAAATCTGTTGCTTTTCTCTTGCTGCCTTTAAGATGCTCTCTTCGTCTTGAATTTTTGGCACTTTAATTATGATGTGTCTGTGCGTGGGCTTCTTTGTTTCTTTTTTTCCTTGGGACTCTCTGTGCCTCCTGAACTTGTATGATTTTTTTTCCTTGACCAGGTTAGGGAAGTTTTCTGCCATTACTTCTTCAAAAAAATTCTCTTACCCTTGCTTATTCTCATCCCTTTCTGATACTCCTATGATGCCCATATTGTTAGCTTTCATGTTGTCCCATAGCTCCCTTAGAGTGTCATCCTGTTTTTTAATTGTTTTTCTTTTTGGTTCTCTGATTCAGTGATTTTTTTTCTACCCCGTCTTCTAATTCACTCATCCGATCCTCAGCTTCCTCTAATCTGCTGTTTATTTCTTCCAATGTATTCTTTATTTCTGCTATGTCATTCTTAATTTCTTTCATAGTTTCCGTATCTTTTCTCATCATTCTTGCATTCAGTATTCTGAACTCTATCTGATAAATTGCTTATCTCCATTTCACTTATCTCTTTTTCTGGAGAAGTCTCTTGTTCTTTCACTTCGGGCTTGTTTTTTGGTCTCCCCACTTGGCTGCCTATTTGGGTTTGTTTCTACCTATTAGATCTGCTAGGTTTGCAGTCTTTTTTGGATGGTCTTTGATGCAGGCCAATGTCAGACGCTGCTTGTGACTGGCCTTGAGTACCCGTTTGAAGTTTTCCTCACTCCACATCTTGTGGTTCTCTCTGCTGGGGCTCAGTGTGTTCGGACAGGACCAAGATGCATACCAAAGTCTGCTTTTCCAAGGCCTGGGTCCAGAAGGAGATCAGGCAAAGACTCAAAACACTCTGTTTTTCATTTTTAAAATACAAATTTGGAATATACTGTGCATACAAGGTTCTGATTCTTGCTTTTTTCACTTAATGTAGAGAATTTAACAGATTTCATCAATTTTAATTGCACATTCCACCCCCACACATTTTAATAACTTTAGAATCAGTACGCATGTTACAATCAATGGCATCTTAAATTTTTTCAAATACAGTAAGTACATAAACAGCCTTCTCATTCTTTTTTTTGCATATATCTTTATTGGTTTCAGAGAGAGGAAGGGAGAGGGGGAGAGAGAGCTAGAAATTTCAATGATGAGAGAGTCATTGATTGACTGTCTACTGCTCGCCCCCTGCTGGGGTTCGAACCTGCAACCTGGGCATGTACCCTGACTGGGAATTGAACCGTGATCTCCTGGATCATAGGTTGATGCTCAACCACTGAGCCATGCTGGCCGGGCTTCTTATTCTTATTCATGACTGAGTAGTTGTTCATTATGTGGATGTATATTTCCCTGTTGATGGACATTTGAATTGCTTCCTATCTAACTACTGAGCCACAGTGGCCAAGGTACACATTTATTTATGTGTTTATGTCTATTTCTGGATTTTCTTAGTACTTAAAATTATTACTATTTTTAAAAATACATTTTATTGATTTTCAGAGAGAGAGGAAAGGAGAGGGATAGAGAGAGAGAAACATCGGTGAGGGAGAAAAACATCAGGGAATGACTGCCTCCTGCACACCCCCTACTGGGGATTGAGCTCAAACCTGGGTATGTGCCCTGAATGGAAGTCTAAAGGTTACCTCTTATTTCATGGGTTGACGTTCAGCCACTGAGCCATGCCAGCTGGGCTAAATATTATTTTTTAAAAATTATACAAGTGTTATACATGAATTCAATCTCATGGAAAAATTTTAATTAATAGTGAAGTTTTAAAGAAGGGCCCTTTGTTTCTCCCTGCTCCTTCACACTTCTTCTGACATAATCACTAACAGATCACTGAGTATTCCATGTAGACCTTTTTCTACTATTTATTTGTATATGCCTGTAGTTTGAGGGATGTGGAGATTATATCTGTTTATATCTATCATCTATCACCTATCTATCTTTGTTTCATCATCTGTCATGTGTAATATGCTGTTAGTTGCTTTTCCCTCCAACTGACTCTATGTCTTAGAGTCTCATGGCCGTCCATGACACGCTGCCTATTTTTTTTTTTTAATCTTTTTTTTTTTTTAAAGATGTCTTTATTGATTTCAGAGAGAGGAAAGGAGAGGGAGAGAGAGATAGAAACATCAACGATGAGAGAGTCATTGATCAAGCCTGCAACCAGGCATGTGCCCTGACCCAGAATCGAACCCCGATCGCCTGGATCCTACGTCAATGCTCAACTGCTGAGCCACGCCCAGCCAGGCTATTTTTCTTTTTAACCTCTGTATGGAGTCCATAGTATGAATATACCATACTTGGTTTAACCACTCTCCTATTGTTGCACATCTAGGTTGTTTGCAGTATTTTCCTAATTTTAGCAAGGCTGTATATATAGCTTACGAAGCGTGTATCTTTGCTTCTCTTTAATTTGTGATAAGCTTAATTCTAAAATATTTAATTGTGATTAACTTACTATTGTGTAATTTACGAGGAAGAAAAATTGGACCATATTGAGTGATATGTTATTAATATTTTGTGATCTTGTCTTCCTAGATAAAATTTGATGCTGGGACCCTCCTTCTTAGTACACATCGACTAATTTGGAGAGATCAGAAAAATCATGTAAGATAGTTTTTTTACATCTGTCCTAGGTTTTAAATCACTGACGTTTTCTTTCTTTTTTTCCCTTTCTGGCAAAATTATAAATAGATGCAATAGATTTTCATTTTCAGAATGTCATCAGAGTGTGTGTGTCCCATATGATCTCTCTGAATGGAGAAAAGATAGAAGGGTTACAGTATTGTTCCTTCTTCAGCTCCAGAAAAAGTCTGTAGTTACTGAATAGAGAGTCATAATGACTCCTGATTTTTAAACACCAGTCAGATCCTACTCCATACCTGAGTGTTCCATGTGTAACAGGAATAATTCTCCCATCAGTTGTCAGGGGTCCTTAGAAAAAACCTCATTCATCCTCAAAAGAACCCATCCTTTTGATTGCTGTTGAGAATCAGGAGAATAGGTCTGCTGGCAAGTGCATGCTTTTACCTAGATATTGAGAACAGCCTCTAAGTCACTCAGTAAGAGGAGAAACCCCCGTTTTTTTTTTCATTTCTAGGGGGAGAGAATAGTTATGTGTACAGAGCTGATATCTTTATTCTAAAGAACTTGAAAGTGTGTGTATGAATAAATTTCAGTGTTGCCAATAACATAAATAACCTTTCTAATTATTTTTAGAACTGCTGCCCCCCCATGAAATTTTAATTTCACAGATAAACTGTATGCTGTACTGAGGCTCTTTGAAAGATCATTAACCATTGCAAAATATAAGGCAGTTTCTCCTCCCCAAGAACCAATTTTTGTCCCCTTAGTGGTGATATTTCTGTTGTCAATAATGCATGCCTTAGAACTGTTAATGTTTCCTAACTCTTTTAAAAGAAATATACACTCAGGAAAGAAATCTTCTTTGGAGGGATAGATGTCTTTAAACCATGTATATAAGTTAATCTTAGTATAATTTTTTGTTTATCTTATAAAGAGGCTAATTTAGATATCCTTAAACCAGCCACTGAATGCCAGTCATTTTCAATAATTCAATTAAATTTACTAATAGAGGAAAGCTACATTATTACTTTCTATTAAAAATTGTGAGTGGGTCTGTGAAGTATAGAAATTATAAAGAAGAAAAATGAGTAACACTCTTTAAAGTTGTTTTGATTTATCTGTTCTACGTTTTGTTTCCCATATAAAAATATAGTATATGTAAAACGTTGCATATGACTACTACTTTAAAAAGATTTACCTACTGTAAAAACAAAGGTAATTATATATGCTTTTAAACGTCTTATGTTCTTCCACATAGTAAAATGTCACCACAGTATTGTTTTCATTCAGTTTTTCCTTAAGTTTATTTATCCTTAAGTTTATTTAAGGAATAAAGTAACATTATTATTTTTTATTGTTTTTATTATTAAGTACCTTAAAGGTTTTTTGCATTCTATTAAGTGCTATAAAACAAGGATTTCTGACTGGTTTCATGAGTCATGTTTTCTGTTGATTTCCTCCTAGGAATGCTGCATGGCCATTCCTCTTTCCCAAATTGTGTTCATTGAAGAACAGGCAGCTGGAATTGGGAAAAGGTCAGGTCTATATATTACAGTCTTTATTCACAAAATACATTTACATTGAAGCTATTATAATTAATTTAGTTGATTTATTACTGTCTCATGACTGCATATGGGTACATGAATCTAATGATTGTGTTTGGGGGCTTTATAAATAACAGTCCTTGGTCAGGAGTTCCCCTAAGAAGGTATTGTCCTACCTTAAAATCACTGATAAATGGAAGCATTCTTAAAGCATGAATCAAGTACTGAGGTTTGCTCTAATATATAATAAATAAATTGATCCAGTTGTCATTGTATATATTTCTACAGACATTTGCTTTTAAACATCTGTGTATCTTATCAGTTAGTACTTAAAATCAGAAATGAGAAAAGGAACTGACTTTGCTCCTATTTCTAGATGATTATTTCTCACTTTGAGTTTTTGAGATACTAGTGTTAGAGTATCATAATAGTTATTGTCCAAATTGGGACATTTTTAAGTAATGGGAGCGCTGTTTATAGTTGGACCAGGGCAAGCAGAAAATGGGGCTATCCCAGGCAAACCAGGAGATATGGTTGCCCCGGTTTAAAACCACAGGTTAAAATGTTTCTGTTTATTCAAGTATATCAAAAATTCTGGCTTTATATTTTAAGTGCATGTAATTGAGGTCAACTTATGAATAAATATTGCTGATAAGGAATTTTTTTTCCGCATGGGCCCATTTTTAGCTTTAGCATAGTTAGATACTTTAATAGATGTTAAATAAATGTTGAACTGCACTGGAAATGCATTACATGCCCTAACTATAATTTTGTAGCTAACCTAAAAGATTGCTTATTTGACATAAAAGAAACTAACCAATGTTTTGAAAAGTGTAATAAACTATATATTTTTAGAGTAAGCAACTTCTCTGATTTATATTTTGCCCCTTGCCACTTTTTCCATCTTATATGTTCTTTTTAAAAAATTTATTTTATTTTTTATTGAGGTATAATTGACATACAACATTACATTAGTTTCAGGTATACAACATTTGATATCTATATATATTGGTTTTCTTATTAAATTCTACAAAGTAAAACTTTAAGGGTGTTCTAGATCATTTGAATTTTCCTCTGCTGTGTTCCAAGGAAACATAAACAATAGCAAATATATTCAAAATAGTTACATTCATATTAAGGCCTTATTTTTAAACACCTCCAGTGAGGAGGAGTTTAATAATTTGCCAGGTTAACTTTTCTCAGATATTCTCTTTAGTCCTTAGCTCCTCCAGCCCCAGACATTTACAATATCTCATTGATTCAAAGATGTATGCATGTTTTCACCTTTTAACGTCTCTGAACCCCAAGATACATCTCTGATTTGATGGATTTTATTTATTTATTTAAAATAGATCTTTATTGATTCCAGAGAGAGGAAGGGAGAAGGAGAGAGAGAGAGAAACATTAGTGAAGAGAGAGTCATTACTGATTGGCTGCTTCCTGCATGCCCCCTACTGGGGATCGAGCCCACAACCTGGGCATGTGCCCTGACCAGGAATCGAACCGCTGTCTCCTGGATCTGAGGTTCATGCTCAACCGCTGAGCCACACCGCCCGGGCTGGATTTTATTTTTTATTTGTTTATTTTTTTAAATCCTCAGCTGAGGGTATTTTTTCCATTGTTTTTCAGAGAGAGTGGAAGGAGGGGAGGGAGGGAGAGAGAGAGAGAAAGAGAGACACGGAGGAACATCGATGTGAGAGAGGCACATCAATTGATTGCCAATTGATTGCCTCCCACATGAGCCCGGACCGGGGCTTGGGATTGCAACTGAAGTATGTGCCCTTGAAGAGAATTGAACCTGAGACCCTTCAGTCTGAGGGCCAGTACTCTAACCATTGAGCTAAACCAGCTAGGGTTGATTTGGTGGATTTTAAACTTGATGAAATAAAAAAAAAAATAATGAAATAAACTTGAAATGTGCTATTGAATGGCTCATGAAATGAATACGTGAAAAAATTGGTATGGAACTTTTATGCTGATTTTGGGATTTTTAAACTTCATGTTGTATCACGGTATTTTAGCTTTTCACTAGATTTCCTTTGATTAAAATCTGATAGCAGGGCTCAGATTTTTTAGTTTTAAAGACTATATAATACTTTTGTTTAATTACCCTATCCTAATTGTCATAGTTTATTTGCTCTAGCTGACAGTTCACTTCAAACAGTCCTGTGATTCTGCTTGCAGTTTATTTGCTCACCACACTTAAAGATGTTCACCACAAAGGAATAGATGAAGAGTCCTTATAAAGTATGGATGGACCTGGAGAATATTATGCTAAGTGAAATAAGCCAGGCAGCAAAAGACAAATATCACATGATCTTGCTTATATGTCGAATCTAAAGAACTTAATAAATTGATGAACAGAATAGATTCAATTACATGGAAGCATAAATGAGACTGATGAATGTCAGAGGGATGGAGGAGGGCGGGTGGGTGGAGGGGGAGAGAGTAACCAAGGAATTTATATGCATATATACACAACCCAAGGACATGGACAATGGTGGGGAGAGGGACTGGGGAGGGGGAAGGAACGGGTCATTGGGGAGAAAAAGGGACATCTGTAATATTTTAAACAATAATAAAATTTTTAAAAAACCCCCCAAAAAACCCAAACAAACAAGAAAAACAAATTGGTCTCAGTTCACTAAACAAAATATTTGTTACATTGAGGAGGCCTGACACGTCGTATTTCAATTTTACAGTGATATTTAGGTAACCACATGGGCCTAAACAAAGTAAAATTGAGTAATAGGTGAATCTGTAGTGTGGCCATAAAGAAAAAGCTTTAAGCTAGATATCCAAGATATGTTGGCTAAGTTTTTTGGTTTTGCTAATCTTTGCAAAAGATTGATTATTGAACAGGTTGGGGGGGAAAAAGAGGAAGAAAGACATATAACTGAATAAATATAGTGGTATTTCTAATAGCATAGAAGATAATGGTAGTCATAAAGATTAGTGTAATTTGTGTTTCTAGAGCAGCAATGTTTTGAGAATTGCTTTTGCTATTGGATATCTTTCTAGGTCATGCTGTTGATCAAGTGGCATTTTCCAAATATGACAGTAAAGAATGTTAGTTTTGGATGGTGTTTTAATAAAACATTTGTTGGCCAGTTTTACACAGATAAGTTTTTTTTAATATATTTAAGTCATTTTTATTTTTCAATTACAGTTGACATACAATATTATAGTAGTTTCAGGTGTACACCCCAGTGATTAGACATTATATAACTTACTAAGTGATCATCCCAATAAATCTAGTACCCACCTGACACTATTCATAGTTATTAGAATATTATTCACTATATTCCCTGTGCTGCACTTTACATCCCCATGACTATTCTGTAACAACCAGTTTGTACTTCTTAATCCCTTCACCTTTTTCACAGTCCCTCAACCTCCCTTCCATCTAGCAATGGTCAAAATGTTCTCTGTATCTATGAGTCTGTTTCTGTTCTGCTGCTTTGTTTATTTTTGTTTTTTAGAATCATTTGTTGATAAGTATTTTATTGCCATTTTATTGTTCATATATTTTATTTACTTTTTCTTCTTCGTAAAGAAGGCCCTTTAACGTATCATGTCATGTAATACTGGTTTGGTGAACTCCTTTAGCTTTTCCTTGCCAGGGAAACTCTTTATCTGACCTTCAATTCTAAATAATAGCTTTGTAGGGTAGGGTAATCTTGGTTGTAGGTTCTTGCTTTTCATCACCTTGAATATTTCTTGCCACTCCCTTATGGCCTGCGAAGTTTCTGTTGAGAAATCAGCTGACAGTCTTATGGTAGCTCCTTTGGAGGTAACTAACTACTTTTCTCTTGATGCTTTTAAGATTCTCTCTTTGTCTTTAACCTTTTGCATTTTAATTATTATGTGTCTTATGGTGGGCCTCTTTGGGTTCCTCTTGTTTGGGACTCTTTGTGCTTCCTGGAGTTGTATGTCTATTTCCTTCACCAGGGTAGGGAATTTTTCTATCATATTTTCACATAGGTTTTCAATTTCTTGCTCTCTCTCGTTCTGGTACCCCCATGATGCAAATGTTTGTATGCTTGAAGTTGTCCCAGAGGCTCCTTACACTATCTTCATTTTTTTGGATTCTTTTTTTCTGTTCTGATTGGGTGTTTTTTGCTTCCTTTTATTCCAAATTACTGTTTTGATTCTCAACTTCATCTACTCTACTGTTGAGTTCCTGTAAATTATTCTTCATTTCAGTTACTGTATCCTTCATTTCTGACTGGTTCTTTTTTTATGATTTCCATGTCCTTTTTTATGTTGTTGAAGTTCTCTCTGAGTTCAAATACTCTTCCTCTAAGTTTATTGAGCATCCTTATAACCAGTGTTTTGAACTCTGCATCTAACAGATTGCTTGTCTCCATTTTGTTTAGTTCTTTTTCTGGAGTATTGTTCTGTTCTTTCATTTGGGACATGTTTCTTTGTGTCTTCATTTTGGCAGCCTCCTTGTGTGTGTTTGTAGAGTTGCTATGTCTCCCGGGCTTGGTAGAGTGTACTGTAGGGTCCAGTGGCATAGCCTCCCTGTTCACCTGAGCTTGGCATTGCAGTTGTGCCCCAATACCCAGGTAGGCTGTATACACCCTCCTGTTGTAGTTGAGACTTGATTGCTGTTGGCATATCAGTAGGAGAGATTTACCCACAGGCCAGTCTGTTGCAAGGACTGGCTGTGACCACAGCCTCTGGGAAGGATTACACAGATTAGTTTTCACATTTTGTTTTCAGATGAGTAAGGTAGTATGTTTTGACAGAAATTATAAGCCCTGTGGTAACCTCTGGGGATGACTCTGTAGATGGAAAACCCTAATCATAAACCAAAACCCTAAACCACCCCAAATTTTGCAAATTTATTTTGAACTTATTTCCTTAAACTCATATTTTATTTAATCTATAGACCTAGTAATTTGAACTTTTTCGTACATAGCTTGCAAGTTTTAAGTAGAGATATTTTTGAAAGGTTCTTTATACTGAATTAATACAAAATTTAAAAGGATTCCTTTCAGGATATTCTTTGTTTCTACATGAATTTTAAAAGTGACCTGAAATATATTAAAAGTTATGAAAATAGAATTAGTGATTTTTATTTTATTTTTAAATACTATTTATTATTTTTTAAAATTTATGTTGAAAGTATTACAGATGTGTCCTTTTTTCCCTATTGACCCCTTCTATCCTGCACCCCCCCACCCCAGGCCTGAAATAGTGATTTTTAAAAGCCAATTTACATTACATTTGCTTTTTCTTTAGTGCTAAAATAGTGGTTCACCTTCACCCAGCTCCTCCTAACAAAGAGCTTGGTCCATTCCAGAATAGTAAGAACTCCTACATCAAACTGTCCTTCAAAGAACATGGCCAGATTGAGGTAAGTCTTTATATGAATAAAATTGGACCAGAAATGTGTACTTGCATATATTTTTGTTGTTTGTTAATATGATGGAAGGCAGTATTGTTTCCGTATTGTTAATATGATGAAGGCATTGTACCAGGTTTCACCACATGTTTACAATAACATTTTTGATATCTTGTATCTTATCAGTAGAGAATGTGAAGTTTAGGTGACAGTGGGAATGGGAAGCAAGAGTGCGTGGTCACAAGGAAAGACTGGAGGCTAAGTCATGCCATTAGGCTACTAGTAAAGTTTTTAGTGGTATATGTAGTATGGTTAAAGACAGCCTATCTTTATTAACTGGAACAAATCTAATCACTTAAGTGTGTCTTTTTTACATACAAGCACTGGTGCCTTCCCATTTCTCAGCTATTCTGTTCCTGTGCCAATACCATACTATATTAACACCACATTGTCATAATCCCTGTAGTTTCAGAATTAAGAGAATTTCAGTTTCTCCACATTAATAATCTTTTAACATTTCATAAGGATAAGTCCACACCTCGTTTCTATTTTTCATTAGTGTCCTGTCTATTGTTAGCTCTTTGTTCTTACATTTGAGTTTTAGAATATAGTTTATATGTTCTGATTAATAAGTTGCTGTATAAGTATTTTTAGACATTTATAAGTGTGCGTTTATCTCCCCATAGGTGTCATAAATTATTTTTGTTCTTTTTCTACAGCTTCACACCCAGTGCTCTTCATACAGTAGGCACTAAGCATATATAAATCACTAACTGAAGTCAGTTTCACTGTAGGTGAAAAATATAGTTCATTTTTTTGTGAGCAGAGGCATGTTTTGGCCCCAGTTTCTTACTACGCATTTTATCTAGACAAATTATTCTTTGCTTTCTTCATAGATAATGGTTGTATATTTTTCTTGGCACTGCATCCGTTTCACTATAGGTTGAAAACAATCCACATAGGCAGAATTGTTTAAAGTAAGTCTATGTATTTCATTGTCACTCATCTCTTTGTTGAAAATAGCTCACTTAATATAGAAGGTCAGTTCCTTCTTTTTTGCTTTGTTCTTTCTGAAGTTGATCCAAGAAAAGAACTTCCTTTGATTTTCTTTGATGTCTCTGAGAATTTTAAGCTTGTTGAAATGATTGACTAGACCTTTCAACTAAAGAAATGTTAAGTAATGAATTCTATGAGGATGCCACAACCTGACTCATTTAAAGTGTATCTATGTGTATAACAGTTTTATAGGCGTTTATCAGAGGAAATGACACAGAGAAGATGGGAGAATATGCCAGTTTCCCAGTCATTCCAAACAAATAGAGGATCCCAGGTATTTTTAAAACTGTTTCTTAGTTTAGTGTTTTCAGCTCTGTACTTGCATCTTCATTAAGGAGAAGATATCTGTGATTATAGAACTTTCTAGAAATAAAATAATATTTGATTAAAAATTTATTTTCACAGAACCTAATTTAATGCTCTATAGACAGTAGACACTTAGTAAAAATAAATGACTACTTACCGGAGTAATTCCTGGGATGGTAGAAGTTAGATTCCACTCACTTCATGCTGTTGTTCATAATCAGTGTGGCATCTTAGAGAACAGACAATAAATACCACTGGAGGACATTTTCCAGGCCAGTCTAAATTAACCACCAACTGTGGACAGATGCTCAAATGTGTAAAAGTAGTTTGTGTAATAACTATCAAGTACCAAAATTTTAACTCCAATTTTTTGCACATTTGAGACCCTGTTAAATATCTGATGAGTGCATAATAAGTGGCCAAAGAACAAAAATGGCTAGGAAATTTAATTTATATCTGAAATCAAGAGTAAATATGCCATTTATCATATATTCAGTGCTTCTTTATAATAATTTGAAGATCATCATGTATGGCAAGAAGCTGACAAATGTTTTGAAAGGAAACTAGATGTAATTGTATGCTGTTTTTCTTTGGTTCTTTGTGGGTCCTTTCCCGTCATTGAAAACACAGTGTGGTGGGTTACAAAAGATTGCGTCCTTCCTATTTTTTATGTTTTATTTTCTACTTTTGTTTTTCAGCCAGGAAGAATAAGGGCTGTTGGAATAGTAGGTATCGAAAGGAAACTGGAAGAAAAAAGAAAAGAAACTGACAAAAATATTTCTGAGGTAACTCTTATACAAGTTCCGTTCAGCTGTCTTTTTTAGCCATTTGTGTTTATTCTTTTGGATTCAACTGTGACTAATTCCATTCTGCATATTGGAATATATTTAGTTTGCCTGAAGCTGCACAGTATCTTATTTCATTAACAGGTCCACTTCAGGTTGGCAAAATTTAGCCAAAATGTGTTTTAAAAACTTTTCCCAAAAAGGAATGAAAAAGCAATGCAAATTTGTTTTTGGTGATGTTAGAAAATGTCATGGATTGTGTGTAAATTTTAAAATCTAGATGGAGTTTATTAGCGGATATCCCTAATGAATTCATGGTCCTCTATATAATTATTTTGGACATTTGGTTAACTTAATTGAGGGAAAAATGCTATTTGTGGCACTTAACCCTGGTCAGATTCCACATAATTTAATGCTGATGACCACTCAGGGACGAGACGGACACAGTTAGGAATGGATCAAACCAGCCCATCAACTAGGAGAACAACCCTGAGCATGTACATTAGAATGTTTCTGAAACTTTATCATATATGAGGAAATTCAAACGAAGGGAAAAGAACTGTAGTTAAGAAAACGAGTTGTGCATCCATAGGCTTGATCAGATTCATGTTTGATCCCTTTGGTAAGAGTAGAGGTTTGTGTTCGTTCATCAGGAGGCACATCATGTTTTTTTTATGATGCCAACAGCTGTTAATGTTCAGTGCATAAATCTGTTGGTTCATTGGTAGTGGCAAATAGTGATGATCTGTGATATATTTTTCATTTATTAATTAGAATACTTTTAAAAGAGATGCTTCCCTTCATCTACTATTTGGCCACTCAGTGATACAGTTCATATAGAAAAGGCAGGATAAATGCCCTTCCCCCCCCTTTATTATCAGGATAATAAATTGGTTCCTTATCCTCCAAAGGTGACTGACTAGGTTTTCTTTTTTTACGTATTACTATGAATTTATAAATTTTAATATATTTGATACATTTCAATCAATTGCAATTATTATTCTATTTAAAACTCAAATTGTCCCATCTTTGGCCAGTGGTAGGCTCTTCAGGTTGGCTCCTGAGTGCTTTTCAGGTGACCTGGTGGACTTTGATAGCTTACTTACAAACCGGTGTGACAAAAGTTCCAGGACCCTCTTGAACGTATCCTGCCCCAGATATGGAATCAACCATATCTAAGAAGCTCTGCTTGTCTTTAGTGGGAAATGGTATTTCAAAACCAGTCTGCCTGTTAAGAATATGCATCTCTATTGGATAGATCTTTATTTTGAGGCCTCTTCAGTGGAAAGATTTTTTTTTTAAATATATTTTTTATTGACTTCAGAGAGAGGAAAGGAGAGGGAGAGAGAAGTAGAGACATCAATGATGAGAGAATCATTGATCAGCTGCCTCCTGCATGCCTCCTACTGGGGATCGAGCCTGCAAACCGGGCATGTGCCCTGACCGGGATTCGAACCCTCACCTCCTGGTTCATAGGTCGATGCTCAACCACTTAGCTATGCTGGCCAGGCTAGATTTTTTTTTTTTTAATAAAAGTGCTTCATGAGGTCATACAGATACTTCCTATTCAAATTCAGGACTACACTAGCAAGTACTTATTAAAACAGTTAAAAAGAATTTTTGTGTGTATGTTCTTCCCATTCTTCCCATGTTTTAAAAATAGGTGTGCTGCATCTACACTGTCTGATCATTCTGCCACTATATACAGTTTCCCCTGTCGCTCTTATTTAGTCTCAGTTTTATAAGAAACTATTTGTGTAATACTATCAGTCCTTATGTTGATCTCTCTCTATTCATTTGGGTTGTCTGAAGTTCATTCTCTAATAGATTTTTTTCAAGAAGTGTTCATGGGAACAATATTCCTTGAGTTCTGGCGCGTTTGTATTCCTTATATGTGAAAAAGTCAGTTTTTGGTGGATTTAAAATCCTTGACTCACATCATCTTTCCTTGAGTACTGTATGTTACTTTTAATTTTTTGTCTGGCATGAAGTGTTGCTGTTAAAGAATGATGCTCATCTAATTTTTTCACCCCCTAAAAGTCACTTGTTCTTTTTCCTAGATATCCAAAGGATTTAAAGATATATATATAATTGCCTGGTAATTTTACTGGATTGTGTCTATGTATTTACTAGAACGTGTAACACATTCTTGGCTGTTATCCAATATGCTTTCAGTATTTGGTTTCAGAAGTTTTAACTGTTAATTTCAGGGGAGTTTTTCTATATTATAATTTTCTTTCTTTTTTAAAAAATTAATTTTATTATTGAAAGTATTACAGATATGCCCTTTTCCCCCCCACTGATCCCCTTCACCCTGCATCTGCCCCCCCCCCTTCACCACAGTATTGTCTGTTTCCATGGGTTATGCATATATGCATATAAGTTCTTAATTAATCTCTCCCCTCCCACTCCCCCACCCTCTCCCTCTGAGATCCCTCAGTCTGTTCCATG